CATATATAGCAACTTGTAACATTTGGCCTCAGTTTCTCTGCTCCTCCTCCTCTCCACCTCCGCCTTCCCTTCCTTCTCTTGTCCTTCACCACCTGCCTCCCTGCTTCCTCCTCTCCACCTCTTCCTCCCTCATCCTCGCTCCTCCACTTACACCTCCCCCTTCCTACCTTCTGCTTCCACTACCACCACCTGCCTCTTCCTCTTCTTCTCCATCTCCCTCCTCCTCCTCATTTTCTCCCTTCCACTCCTCATCCTCCTGCCTCCTCCACCTACCACAGCGGGACCGTCCCTGTCCAGCTTGGCCGTTCGGGCAATGGCCGTTTCCTCCTCTGTCCCTTCCCACGAGATCGTAACCGAAATCGCACCTTATACCTAGACGGAGCTGCCCCCGTCGTATGCGATCTCCAAGATATCGTGTGGGTGGCCCCACCTCCTGGTCGATGCAAGGACCGCACTGCAACCGAAAACAAAGACACTCCTGCTGAGATTGTTGGTAAGGGGACGGCTTGACAATAAAACACACATTCTACTCGTCGGTGAGGGGCAAGGTGTAACGAAACACTGTAGTAAGGTGGGGTTGTCGTGCTGTGTGGGGGGGGGGAAAGTGGTTGAGTGATCAGGATGTGGATGAAAGTCGGCAGTGATGGCATGATGGTGAATAATGGACGGCTGTGGCGTGGCATGCTGGTGCGGTTAGCCCATGACCGAATTAATACTTGTGGGAATAGTGGCTGAGCTGGGCGGTAGATGGTGGCTAGACCAAACTGTAGATTGTGGAGGGTGGTGGGTTTGTCGGTAGTGAAGTGGTGGACTGTTGACCGTTGGTGGGCCTGTGAACGGTGGTCGGATGTGGCTGTTAGAGAGGGTGCAGGCTGGTGGTTGTGTTCGCGTGGATGGCAGCCGCGTAGAATCTGCGTTGGATGAGTGGGGATGCAGTTGGCGCCAGACAAAATGACGAATTGTGAATTAGCAGAAGGCCAGCTCAGTAGAGACATCTGGGCGCGTGGAGGGAAAGGCTCGTACTCCTCTGTTATCTCCGCGCTAGTAAACTAGCATCACTTACCGCAATTCGTGGAACACGAGCCTCCACTCCCACTGGGTAGACCACGTGAACGAACGTGGACCGACGCAGTGTCGTAGCTCCCTGGTTTGGCAGCCGACATTCAGTGAGTGATTGGTTGAGGCATGTGCTGCCGCAGCACGTGCGAATCATACCTAGCCGTCTCCACGTAGCCTAGCCGGAACGACGCGGCAGCCAGACACGTTCGCTCTGTAACGGCATCATATATATTATATAGATATAAATATATAGCGCCAAGGAACATGCTGCGTCGTATAGCTTAGAATTGTAAACCGCCTCAGCTCTCTTCCACCGACGACACCGCCATGCCGATCCTCCACCATCTGGCAGCTTCATGGGTCCGTGGTGTGCACGTTTATAACTATAAGCAAACTTAAATCACTAATCGTTCATCAGGTAGTAATAATTAACAACGGGTAGATACGGCCATAAGCAGCCAGTGCCCTAGCCTTTCATAAAACATCAGCGCACAATGCTTTGTACCTCGAGAAGTCTCAGGTCAAACCTATCACCGGACTTATTTACGACCCTCATAGATTGCTTTACTCTTCGCATTTCAGCTAAGCGTGTGTCCAAATGACCCCGTTCGCTCACCCGCAACGAGGGCGCCCATGTCCGCTCCATTCTTCCTGAATCCAAGGGCAGTGCCCTCACCCTTGCGCTCCCAGCAGGCTCCCAACCCTTCGTGCCGCACGAGTAGGTGGCGCGCTGGATTCTGCTCGCCCATAAGGCACGTGGCCGTCTGGGGAACGTCCACCAGCGGCAGAGGTATCATCCCGTCCTGAACACAGAACTAATCACGACTGCGCGGGGAAACCGGCAAAACTCCTCTTTCATCTCTTTCGCATCGCCTTATCTTAGACTTCCACCAATTTTCTCTCTACGGGCGGCGACCATAACGGATGATGCTCCGCTCTATCTAGCCTGAGCTATTGCGACGGTGACAGACAGACAGGAGAGATCACCTCACCAGTGCGTGCAAGGTGGCGCCTCTGAGTCCTGGCAGACAGGAAGTGCAGCCGACGTCGCTGCAGCTGGAGCAGTGCGAAGACGTCGCACCCGCTCTCCGTGTGCCACGTCGTCGCAAGGCAGCATTGCAGGTTGCCCCGCTGTGGATGTAGACGAACACCTGTTGGTGCTGTACGTGACATCATGGCAGTAGCGACCACGGGCCGTAGTTACCCGGACGGCACACGCGCCTAGCGCACGCACATCATATCTATGAGAAATACATATATATATATATATATTCATGTATTACACCACAAAAGATAGTTGGTACCAACATACGGCATACTGGGCGCACTCGCTGACTGGACAGCCCTGGAACGACCGGAATGACCGGACAGAGCGGAATTTCAGTTTCTGACGGGCACTACTGTTCAATAGCTGAAGATCAATGTGGAGTTACGCCACCCACGATTGCGCAAGAACAGTGATGTCATCGCAAGACCCTTCCGTCTCCTCCAGGCTTGCCAGACATGCAACTGCGACGCCGCGACAGGTGCAACACGAGAAGGCCTGAAGTAAGAAGCAATACATCCGCAATTATCATGTTAGGGACTGGCCGGATTCCAGAGGGTTTGTGGGTGACCAGTTTCCATAGTTCTAGTCACAGCTAGGGTGGTCGCCCGGGGCATGTCCCCCCCGGAATTCTAACAAAAAATTTTGGCTACACTGGTGCAATTCCTGTGAACTTTTGAGGGTCAGGCATTCTGAAGATATCCGCAGCCTGCTGACCGGCTTTCTGGAAACGGGTGCAGAACCGGGCCTAAATCCGGCGCACTTGTGGCGGGGGAGGGTGATGGGGGGTGCGGTCGCAGAGCTGGTGGCTGTGGTGGAGTGACATGTGTACTCGGGATAGACAGTCGGGCAATTAGTAACTATCGAGTTGTACCAAACCATCGATGACCGATGACAGTTTAACTACGCGGCTGGGGTGCAGGCGATACTTTTTTCACTGCGGCCAGCTGGATGTTTATGAAAAGATAAGACTCTTACCTCCACAGGTTTACCTTCCTATCTATATCTGGGCAATACAGACTATCGCCTAATGGCGAATGTAAGCGGGGCAAGTGTGGGGTAGGGCAGGGCGAGTTGGGAACCTTCCCTATATACTTGCATCCCTAGTTTGTGTGATGGTAAACATGTCAGACATCAAGCCCTGTAGCAACCATCGAGAGGGACAACGGTGAAGTAACCCCGTAGCGCACTTACAGCCTAGGCGCATGATGCGCCCGCCCTGCTGGTTAGATAGGTTCTAATACCCCCTTTGTCTAGCTGGGGGGTTTATCCTCCGCTTCAGGGTTCGGACCTGAAGCGGTGTATAACTTCAGTGAATAAAGGGAAACACCGTTAGTCGAGCGAGAAGGATTGATTTCACCCTCAGGAGGGTGATTCAGGGTCCGTTCAGACGCGAGCTACAACGTCAGTATAAAACGACTTATCCGCGGCGAGCTAAAGTGTATCGCCGCTGTCAGAAGCGGGCTAAAGTCGTGCGCAGGTGATAAATCGGACTTACCGACTAAAAGTTATCCCGAGCTAAATTTATCCCGCTTCAGCAGTACAAAACGACTTATCCCTAGCAAAGTATCCCGCTTCAGAAGCGGCTAAAGTCGTGCGCAGTAATGAAACGATCTTATCGCGCGCAGCTGAAATTTACTCCCGGCTTCAGCAGTATGACCAAACCGCACTGTAATTCCGAAGCTAAGTTCATCCCGCTTCAGAAGCGGCTAAGTCGGCGCAGTCATAAAACGGCATAAAATTCGTGTTTCTTTCGTGTTCTTGTATGATAGCGCTGATTAACTACCATTGAATAGCTGTGATAGACACCCATGATAGCTGATTAACACGCAGATAGCTGAATTTAAGACCCAATGATAGCATGATTACACGCATGATAGCTTGATTAACACCATGAGAGCTTTTTGAAAAACGTTTTTCGAAGAAGCCACAAAGACCCCGCAAAATAATGAATTGTTGATTAACACGCATGATAGCTGATAACACGCATGATAGCTGGATTAACACGCATGATAGCTATTAACACCGCATGATCAGCGTGATGGTAACACGCATGAATAGCTGAGTACCGCTTGGCATAGCCTGATTAACACACGCTGATTGGTGATTAACACGCCATGATAGGCTGATTAATCACGCATGCAATCAGCTTGATTCACACGGCATGATTGGATTAAGCACCATGATCTAGCTGATTAAGCACGCATGCATGCTGATTAACACGCATGATAGCTGATTAGACCACGCATGATTGCTGATTAACACGCATGATACGCTATAACACGCAGTGATAGCTGATTAATCACCATGATAGCTTGAGTTAACACGATGATTAGCTGATTAACACGCATAATTGTGATTAACACGCATGATAGCTGATTGAACACGCATGAGCTGATTAAGCACCATGGATTGCTGATAACACGCAATGATTGGCTGGATTAACACGCATGATACGCTGAGTTAACACGCATCGGATGGCTAACCACACCGAATCCGAGTTGTTGATTAACACGCAATGATAGCTGATTAACACGCATGATAGGCTGATTACTACGCACTGATAGCTGATTAAGCACGCATATAGCTGATTAACAGCGCATGACGAAGCTGAGTTAACACGCATGCATAGCGTGGATTAACACGCACTGATAGGCTGGATCGTGAACACGCATGAGTTGCTGATTAACCAGCATGATTGCTGATTAACACCGGCCATGTAAATTGCTGATTAACGACGCATGATAGCTGATTAATCACCATGACTTGCTGATTAACACGCATGATAGCTGATTAACACGCATGATAGCTGATTAACACGCAT